ATCTGGGAAAAAGTGTGCTCCGTCCTCTCTCTACTTCACCACGTGCTTCTCTAGTCTGTAGACACCTCAGGAGCAAAAATGTTGGGCAGAGTCGCCCCAAAGATGCCACAGGTTACCCTGGAGCTGGCTTCACTTTCACTGTAGCGGCTGGTGACAGACTAGGGGCCAATCTGGGGGTACAGAGCACAGGACAGAGTGCTGACATGTCAGCTGGGAGATGGGCTCAGACCGGATGACCTATAGGGTCCCATGACCTGAGACCCCATGACTTTAGGATTTTTCTCTCCTTTTTGTCTATGATAAATCAAAGGGTATTACTAAAATACCTCTGTTGGCCACATAGCCAGTGGCAAAGTTCTCTGCTTTTGTTTTCAGTAACAATAATTACCTTTATGGGCCTCAAATGAGTATCCAGAATCCACTTCCCCTCCCCCAGAGCAGCTGTGAAAGAAAAATGGAGCCAGCCCAGCAAATGCACGAACACTGTCCCGTGCCCCACAGACGCCATATTCTTCAGCATTGACACGCTCCTCCGAGCCGTGACGTGTGTGCTGTGGACCTGCCGTGTGATGTCAGAGGGCTCGGCTTCATCTCCTGGACAGCCAGGCTCTGTCAGGCTTTCCTCTTAAACCGCATGCTCCCAAAGGAACAGTGGCCTGCACATGGCAGGAGCTTGGCAAACGGCTGCCAAGAGGGTGACTTTCTCCCAGGGTGAGGTGGGTGTCCAGACCAGAATCATCGAGAAACCAACAGATCTGATTTTTTTTCAAAGTATTGCTAGCTGTACAGAGTCAAATCAAAGCAATTACATTCTCCCCNCCATGACTTTAGGATTTTTCTCTCCTTTTTGTCTATGATAAATCAAAGGGTATTACTAAAATACCTCTGTTGGCCACATAGCCAGTGGCAAAGTTCTCTGCTTTTGTTTTCAGTAATAATAATTACCTTTATGGGCCTCAAATGAGTATCCAGAATCCACTTCCCCTCCCCCAGAGCAGCTGTGAAAGAAAAATGGAGCCAGCCCAGCAAATGCACGAACACTGTCCCGTGCCCCACAGACGCCATATTCTTCAGCATTGACACGCTCCTCCGAGCCGTGACGTGTGTGCTGTGGACCTGCCGTGTGATGTCAGAGGGCTCGGCTTCATCTCCTGGACAGCCAGGCTCTGTCAGGCTTTCCTCTTAAACCGCATGCTCCCAAAGGAACAGTGGCCTGCACATGGCAGGAGCTTGGCAAACGGCTGCCAAGAGGGTGACTTTCTCCCAGGGTGAGGTGGGTGTCCAGACCAGAATCATCGAGAAACCAACAGATCTGATTTTTTTTCAAAGTATTGCTAGCTGTACAGAGTCAAATCAAAGCAATTACATTCTCCCCAAGCTTAGTGCTGTTCACAGACGCCACAGCCCCGGATTTGGTGGTGGAGTTACGGAAGCTGTACACTTGCGCGCAGCACGGCAAGCCTTTCTTTCACATGCGACTCTGCTACGTGGCACGGCCTGTAGGAAGGACACACATGGAAGGGTGATGGTGACTGAAGCAGCTGTGACTCACTGAAGGGGTCGCGGCACCCAATCAACGTGTCCCCACAGGCGATGAACGGGCTCCTCCACCAGGCCCAGGGGTGCCTGCATCACAGGAGGTCTTGGCAGAAAATAAACGGCCCCCAGTTCTCCGAATGTACCCCACTGCAGGGTGGAATCGGGTCAAACAGCGCTCTACCCTCATGGGAGGCTGTGCTCAGACCTCACTGGCGAGTCGCCACCAGTCTTTCTCCGCTGTTTGCTGAGGGGCTCAGTAGTTGCTGTTTAGTGCCTCTCTGGCTCTAGATACTGATGCTTAAGCCACCTTCAGCTGTGTTCTACCATTGCGGCTGTGGCCGCTGGGACTGGCAGCGGCTGTCCGGAGCTCTGCAGCCCAGGAGTCTGAGTGGGCACGTTAAACGCTGTGACAAAGAAGAGCCCAGGGGCCCCACCGGCCACGTCTCTGGCTCACACCCCTCCCCTGGCTCACTCCCACCCGTGTCGGTGCCTTCCATCCATCTGTACATCAGGTTGAGCTCCCCACTCCNCTGTGACAAAGAAGAGCCCAGGGGCCCCACCGGCCACGTCTCTGGCTCACACCCCTCCCCTGGCTCACTCCCACCCGTGTCGGTGCCTTCCATCCATCTGTACATCAGGTTGAGCTCCCCACTCCCATGGTTTCCCAGCATCCGGAAGCTTCTCTCCGCAGCTCTCATTATGGTTACTAGTTGTTTGTGCAACTGCACAGGGTTCCCACACACGGTGGTGAAAACCGTGCAACACGCAGGGCGTGAGCGACGGCCGGAAGCCAGGCTGCACTCCAGTGAACCATGCACCTGCAGTGCCTTAGCAGGAGTGCGGTAACAGGGCCTGAGGCAGCGACGCAGGCAGGCCAGAGCTCCAGGCTCCGAGTGTGGCCACGGTAGCTCCTGACCAGGCTGACTGGTCACTCAGCTGGCAGACGGGGGTCTGCTTGGGGCTAGAGATGTGAATCCCACTGCAGCCTTGGCCTGGGGAGGGGCCCAAACTATACAGAAAGGATGGAAACCCACAATGCTGTCTATGCACCAGCAGAGCATCCAGGAGAGAACAAGCCGGAAGAGACGTGCCCTGGGGCAGTTCCACCGTGGGGGCATTTTCCGGGACTCGGGAGAGCAGGCTGCTCACACGGGCACTGAGGAGGGACACGGAGGCGGGCAGGAGTGCCGTGGCGAAGGGCCCTGGGTTACGGAGGCTGGACTTGCTGTGGGCAAAGTGAGCTGCCAGAGACCCTTAAGCAGAAGAATAACATGACCCATGTGCTATTTTTTTTTCAAAGAACTTTCTGGTGGCAACGTGGAGGACATGAGAGCTGGAAGAGGCCAGGGACTGGGAAAGTTCTTAGCGGGCATTGCTCAGGGTGAGAGAAGAGTCTGAAGGAAGACCTGGTGGGATCTGATGACCTATTTATAAGGAACTTACGAGGGCCCCAGTTAGAAAGAGGGGTGCTCCGCACTGCAGAAGAGACGGGGTGAGGAGAGAGGGGGCACACAGCCACACAGCATTCTTGTTTGGAAATACCGAGATGGCACCGACGTGGCCATCTACCGGAAGCATGACCTGCTCCCCACATTCACCCCGTCTTGTAAATGGACGACTGATCTGACCCTCAACCAGCACTGTGGACATGGACACGTGGTGTCGTGCATCTGTGGCCACATGGGACACAGGCTGCTTTTTCCTGCACTAAAAATCCACGTAATGACGATCGGAAGAGGAAATTCATGTCTTTCACCCTTTTCTCTGATCTACTGTATCCTTGGGGAGAAAAAAAGATCAAAGCACTGAAAACTCGGACTAATCCAGGTGAAGTCGAGTTTTGGTCTCCCATTTCAACTGACAATTTACGCTTCACCCTACACTAGAGCACAGATTTGAAACTATTCAAATACTTCCAAATATGAAAGAATAAAACTCCGCTTACGTACAAGTATGAAAAGTGGTATGAACCCCGAGTGAACATTTAAGATACAGCAACCTCTGAGCTGTTGTATAAAATATAAATACAGATCTTTAAGGAACATTTGAAAAAAATAATGATGATGATGTTTTTG